GCCATAGTGTTTCCAGGCCCCAGGTGGTGCTCGCGGGGGGGGGGGGCGGAAGGGGGGCACTGGTGCTCCTGCCTGCCCCCCCTGCCTGTCGCCTAAGCAGCAAGCTCAACCTGTCAGGAGGTGCACTGGTGCCATTGTGCAGAAGACACTCGTTCCTGTCCAGGCCCTAGCCTTGACTGGAAGGATTGAAGAGAACACAACCTGAGCCCCAGACCCCTTCACTCAGAGCCCTGTAGTCACTTTTGATCTGCTCAGGGTTTTGCCTGGCAGTATCGTTGGTGTCCACATGGATGAGCAACACAGGGTAGTTGTCAGAGGGCTGGATGAGTCTTGGTAATCCCTCTGTGACATCTTGGATCTGGGATCCAGGCAAGCAGCAGACTTCCCAAGACAACAGGTCAGGTCAGCAGATGCTTCCTCTGTCCCCTGCAAAAGGGAGTCTCCAACCACCACCTCCTATCACCTCTTCTTGGTAGCAGTTATCTCAATCCTTCCCACCTTGGTGAGGCCTGGCCTGTTCTCCTCCACCAATGGAACATGCTCCACCTTCTCTGTTGCTAGGGCTGCATATCTCTTCTCCAGACAACTTGCTGCAAGTGGAGATGTAGATCTCTGCTTGCTGCCAGAGGTCACAAGCTTCCAGCTTCCACCATCCAGGGAGTTCATGACCTCTCTCTTCTCTAGTGCTACTGCTGGCAGTTCTTCCTCCACGGTCCCGGAGGTCCCCTCCAGTACTGAATCAATGAACTCCTCATGGTGGAGGATGCTTTGGAGCATCACCACCCTCCTCTTGTAGCTCTTGCCTGTTTCCTGAAAGACACCACCAGGAGGTACTGCTCACACCATAGGCACCCCCTGGCCTGGCCATCACTGGAAGGAACTTACAAACCACAGTCCCCACAGCAGGAAATCCAGACCTGGGTGGAAGCCTCAATGGTGAGTGGTCCTGCCTGGACAGAAATGTAAGCAGAGGCAGTGACAGTGGCTCAGGCATTGTGACATCCTCCAGCCATTTCCCTGGGTCTCTTAATTTACCTTGTCTCTCTTACTGCCCTTCTTCCAAGCACACCTTCCCTAGCAAACTCACCTGTTTACTGCTCATTGGCCCCAAAAGGTTCCTTTTTTTCTTCTTCCTCACACCAAATTGAAAGACTCTTCCCTCAAAAGGAGGATGGGGGTGGGGGCAAACTGACCTGTGAACTCATCTGCAAACTGTCTGCATACTACTTACCTTGTTTGCTGTCCTTGAATACATGAAGAAGCATGAATGAGAAGTAGATATAAAAGCACAGGGGGTTAAGACTCACCTGTTTCATTCAGTTGTTGATGTCAAAGGCATTAGAGAATTAGAGCTCGAACTGAGCTACAAATGAGTTCACACATCTGGGTTTTACAAAGAAATGTTTAGATTCAAATTGGAACTACCTCTAAGTTAATAGCGTTCAGATGTGAAATCTAGCTTATGCCAATTTTTGTCCAAAATATTTCCTTTTATCTGAAATGATAAAACTTACATATATATTTAGGGTCAGGGCATCTGGATTATACAGTGTAGCATTGAGTTTTCCTTTTAAATATGCTCTCATTTTTAACATGCTTGGTGTTGCATTACTACCTGTAAAGTAAAAAACAATTTGTAAAGTTCTTCCATATTTTTCTCTTCTCCTAGTTTGCCGGAAAATTCTGATTTCTGTACGAGAAGTTGTTCGTAACAGAAGTTCAAGCATTCATGGATAGGCAAGGGGTGCCTTCAGACCCATTAGTTCCCTACAAAGTGCACACACCCTCAGCCTTTAAAGGAAATGGAAACTGTGTCAGGGGTACTCAGTATCTCCTTTTATCTGGCCCAGTTTGGATCACTTGTGTCCTAGAGTTTCTTGAGCTTTATAAAGGAAATATTAAAGTATTTTTTGCCCTTTGTGATAAAAAATAGTTTGGTCAGTTTTCCAGGCCTTGAAAATATTTGCTACAACTACGAAACAATGCCTTATAACCACAAAAAGCTATGTAAAGGTTACTACAGCTGACAAGCTGGAACATCTTTGTAGCTTATGAAGGCTGACTTGTACAACCACAGAGAGGCCTGCTGCTGGTGCATTTCAGCAACAGGAGGGAGTATCAGGGAAACTGTCTTGTTTGGGGCAGAGGTTCCCAAACATTCTTATTGCATATCCCCTTCCAGATTTACCAGCTGCCCACATACTCCTACAAGCATATTTTTTATATTTTAACCCCTTAAATGCCTATTATTATGATAATTAAAATTGAATCCATTATGTAATTTCTCTTGCATACCACCCAGAGATGTCTTGCATATTCCCAGGAGTACACCTACCACAATTTAATCTCAATCCTGCTTTAATTTTAAATCAATTATAAATGAGTGAATAGATGGCCTACAACAAACAAGTCTGTCTTGCATTATACTTTTTCTTCTTGAATCTTTGTCCTGTTGTTTTTAAAAGAGTAACACTTCAGTGGAGAGAAGTCATACAATGCTCAATATCACATCCTGCTTGGTCCTATTTGAACATTGATGTCATAAATCTGGGTCTAAACAGGAGTCCTTTCCATTAAGGAAACAGGTAAGAAGAAAAAAGTGTCTCTCCAGAAACTGCAATTCTTTCAAAAGTGAACTTCCAGCAGAAAAAATAAATCATAATATCTATGCCTATGGTTATGAAAGCAGATTTTTTCAGATCCCCCCATCCATACCTGCTACTTCCCAGTTTGTCCGCTGATTGACTTCTGTGATTGTGACAAAATAAGGAGATTTCAGGTGTTTATATCTGCTTTTACTTTTAATCATGAAATGGATTGGAAGTTTTCTAACCGGATACTTCATCCTAAGAGCCTAAAATTTAAGTTATATATTGTCATACAGTTGCATTTAAAAGGTAAAATTGTGTTGGTTATTTAAGACCTTTATTAAACATTCAGGCCATGCCTACCTGCAATTGTGAGCTGGAATGTCTCTTTAGATAGTTAGTTTCTGCCCCCATGTTGCCCCACAGACAATTTGTACTGAATCCAGGGTGGTTTCCTGGCCACGTCTAAGGGCAGAATTTATTCCTAATAAGAGTTGTTTCCAACTTGTTACTAGTTCTTACCTTCTCTTTGCAGTCTGAGAAAGCTACAGAAAAAGAAAGTTTCTCATTGTCAGTGCAGTTGCATTTTGCTCGAGATGACTTGTTAGCACACTTCTTGTAGGTTCCTGAAGTCTGTAAAAAGATATATAACCTGAATTGAGCTCATTTTTACATGGATTCTGAAATAAACATGTTTTTAAATAACAAATACGAAGTAGATAGTTTAAAAGGTATACATGCTGCTTGCTGCAGACCACATGTGATATTGTTGCTCGTCAAAATCCTCCCATGAGAAATTTAAAAATTTTAAAATCTGGTTGAGGTTCAAATTAGGGCAAACAGTTGAAATCCTGGATTGTTTCATGAAATTAAATATTAAAAAATATTCTACTTCAACCTTTCAAAATTTTTGTAAGGGTGAAATATTCCATTCAGTTTTATTTTATTTAATTTTATTTGAAAGCAATCATGTAAAAAAATTAAATGTTTTGACCTTTTCAATAATTTAGTAATTTCCTGTGAAAATACTTTGATTTCACTAAATAAGCCTTTTCTGGTGAAGAACTATTATACTTAAAACATTTCAAACAACTCTACTCGGAATTCCTAAAATAATCTCTAAAAACCAGAGCTAATATGCTTTTAAAGTGTGTTTGAGGTCAGAGATTAGTTTACCAATTTATTGGAAGGTTTTCAGTCCTATTACATAATTTGTAGTCATTATAAAAAAGCCTGCTTACACTACAAATAAAACACTTCTTTCGTTATAAGCTTGATTTCTAGAGAGACGGAGAACCTCAAACTTTTAACATATATATACATATATACACATATACATACACACACACAGATTTTCAGGCAATTTTCTGTCAGTGTAGTTCTACCCGTCATATTGACAACAGAAGCTGCAGCACATACAAGTTTCATATATTTTTACAACAGCATCGTGTAGTCTTAGCCCTATGTGCACTACAGTTTCTACCTTTTTCTACCAATCAAAGATCAGTGTCAGTGGTACATGCAGGGTTCTATAGGACCTCTCATGATCAGGCCACCTGATCATCTTCTGCTGCATCTCTTTCCTGGTTCCTGTCCCGTTCACATCTCCCTGGTGGTATGACTGCCCACCTGAGAATTTGTACTCCTCCACTGAATGCTTCTGCTATCATGAGATAGGTACATATTGTAGAAGGAAAAGGATTGGTGAAGCAAACCTTCATCTACGAAATTCTTGGCTGGCATACAGTCTTGTAAGAACCTTAGTCAACTATCTAAGGTACTCATTGTCTACTCCACTGCCAAAGTTTCTGGTACCTTGTGAATCAGAAATGGATAACCAGCATTCCAATGGCCCTCCTCATTTCCTGTGCCAAGCAAAAAATGGATCTGTCTGATAGTCTTATGCCGTGTGCATTAGTATCAAGGGCCCTCTTTAAAGAGGATAGGCATTTTGTTAGTGTAGGCCAAAACTAGGATCATAGAGATACATATATGCGGGGCATCCAGACGAGTGCACATGTGCAGTATGCGGTACTTCAGACCCATTTGCAGTGCTGCACACTAGCGCTGTACGAAACGGCTCTGTCTCGTTTCAATTTTGGATTCAGCTGTTTCAGAGGACAGCGATTCATTCTGGTGTTTTGGATCACTGTTCTGTTTTGATTCAGCTGAATCTGCTTCAGAATTTCAAGGCTGTTTTGGAGGTTCAGCCACAGGCTATAATGGGAAATCACTAAAATTCCTATACTTTTGTCGTTTCTTGCCTGATTCAGATGAAAATTGTAGGGATGGTAGCCCCTTCTGAGGTCATGAAGCATGCCAAGTTTCAAGGAGATAGGTTCAGGAGTTTTTGTGAAACTGTTCAAATCCAAACTTCAAAGAGATAGGTGCAGGGGTTTCTGTGAAAGTGCACCTCAAACTGTTCAAAGCAAAACTTGTGACATGTGACTTTGTGTGTGTGTTAAGGCTCAGTGGGTTGAAAACAGCAGGCATGGTAGCCTCTTCTGAGGCCATGAAGCCTGCCAGGCTTCAAGGAGATAGGTGCAGGGGAGTTCTGGGAATCTGCATCTCAAACTGTTCAAAACAAAACTTGGGACACTCGTATGACTTTGTGTGTGTGTTAAGGTGCTGAGGGATCAAACCAGCAGGGATGGTAGCCTGTAACAGGGGGCCTTCCTGGTGCCAGTTAGATCTCCACCCACCCACCTGTTTCTGGGTCTGCCACGCCTTGATGGAAAATTGATTCAGATGTTTCCCAGGTGGGTGGCTCTCCATTTAGGTGTCTTGGGGTGACATCCATTCCACAGCTCTGTACTTCCCCTAACACTGCGGCCCATGCCTCACACATTGCCTCCTTCACCCCCTCCAGCTGTGGTCCCCTTTGGCCGGAGGGGGTAAAGGAGGGCTCCACCTTTGGCTCCCCCTTAGATCTTGGCCCTGCCTTCAGGTCAGTCAGAATCCTGAGCCTCTTGCTCTGGGGCCCACATTCTTCGCAGTGGGCCCCTGGCCCTTAGACCCCACTTTGGGTCCTGGCCCCAGAATGGACCAGTTGAGGGTACCTCTGATATCTTTTATTAAACCAACTGAATAGTGGAGAAATATATCTTAGCAAGCTTTTGGATTTAAAAACCTTTAGTCAGGCTGAGGAAGCATCTAGTTGTTGTGTGCGCGCTCTTCCTAGATGGAATGAATAGTGAAGAAGCCAGAGGCTAGCATGCAATGCAGGCAAGAAAGTCAGTCAGTGAAATTAAATTGAGGTGTCAGGGGGTAAGGGACAGGCTGGGAGGGAAGGGGGAGAAGGGGGATGTAGTAGGTAAAAGTGGAGAGGTACTTGGGGAGTCAGATGTCAGGCAGGTTATAGTGTGTCATATAAACCCAATGTCTATATTGAGTCCATGAGTTTTTGTATCAAGGTTGATGAAGTGAAGTTCATAGGCTCATCTGTGAAAAGTGGTTTGTAAATTTAAACAAGCACTGAACCTCACTAACCTCATCACCAGAAGCCAACTTCCTACAGCCAAAACACACCAAATGGATCCAGACCATGCCCTGATAAGAAATGCAAAACCTGCCAACATACTAATCCAGTCTATTACAGACAAGAATACCCAACTACCAGTGTGGTCACATTTCTCACAAGAAACCCACTCTGTCTTCAGTCTCTCAGGCCTGATCCTCAAGGGAATTTACAAACCACTTTTGACAGTCCCACTGATCCCAATCTTCCTGAGCAAGGCCATCTCATGGATGGCCTTCTGTTGCTTGACCAGTCTTTCAAGCATCAGGTATGTGGGGTTCCACTGAGTTTCCACATCCTGCACGATTTTGTGTTGTGGGATGCTCAGCTCTGCCTGTTTGTCCCGCAGCATCTTGCCTGCCTTGATGCTCTGGTGGAAGTAGCCCGCCATCTTCCTGCATTTTGAAATGAACTAGCTGGTCATGGTAGGGATGGTGCCATCACAAGCAGCCCTGCCCCCTCCAAGGTGTCCCTGACTATGAAGTGGACCTCGTGTGCCACAAAGAGGATGCCAACAATGTTGGCATCATGGACCACCTTGACCAAATTTGGTTCCGTTGTCGGTTACCGCGAACCCTTTCCCTCTGCCTTTTCCCTACTGGTCCAGGGTGGCCTGCTTCTGCTTCTGGGGGACAGGCAGGGGCTTTGAAGTGAGAGGGGGACTTCCCTTTGGGCACACTCCCACTGGTGCCAGGCTGAGGAGGAGCAGTGGCAAGAGAGTGGGATCTCCTGATATGCATCAGCATCCCTGTGGTGCTGAAGTGATTCTTGTCCTTGCCCCAGCTGGTCTTGCATCAGCTGTGCAGGCAAATAGCATACTTGGGATCATCTGCCACCTCAAAATGATCCCATACTACATTATCCCTTCACTTTTGGGTTGCGGTGAGAATCCTGCCGTATCCCCCTCCTCAGCAGGCAGAGGCACAACAACAGGGGAAGTTCAACCACCTGTCCCCATAACCTCCTTTGCAGTACCTTCTGAAGAAGGAGACCTGGCTCTAGGGGAACTTTAAAGGGATGTGGAGCAGAAACTCAGATTCCTCCTCCCTCCCCAGAATTTCCCTGGCTATAGCACTGAGCTCCCCTGGTTCCAGATCCAGCTCCTCCCCTGGTACTGGGAGGCTCATGCTGGGAACTGAAATTAGGGTGGAGGAGGCTGTCATGTTGGTGCTTGTCATACTGGTGGTGCTGGGAGTCATTATTATTGCTGGTATTAATGGAGGTGGGACAGGTGCAGACACTGCTCCCACTTCCTTGCTGCCACTAACTAGCAGCAGAAGCCTTATGCCTGCTAGGGAAGAGCGTGTGCCTAAGTTGTGTGTGGGGCAGGGGGGAGAAGGACTTACAGCTCTCCCTCTGCCCCCTCTCGCTTCTCTGCTAGAAGACCTGGCACTTGTCTTTCCAGCACGCTTTATAATGTTTGCTGTGCTGGAAAGTGTGTGTGTGTGTGTGTGTGTGTGTGTGTGTGTGTGTGTGTGTGTGTGTGTGTGTGTGTGTGTGTAATATATCTTCTATGTGTTTACTATATCTTTTTCTATCTGCTTATTTTACTATATCTTATATTTACTATATTTTCTTCTATCTGCTTACTATATCTTGCATGTGTAATATATTGGAAAGGTGTATCCAATCCTTTCCATAAAGAAAGACTAGCAGGAGACTGACTAGGAAGCCAGTCACTGCAGCCAGCCACAGTACTTTTCACACGCTGTTGCATCCAGATAGTCAGCTCACAAAAGGGACAGAAAGACTTCACACAGAGCCTTATATGTTGTTTCTCCATCCCTCCCCCAGAGCACTGGGATTGGAAGGGACCTCAGGGAAAAATCACAGACACTGACCAGCTCCAGATGTCAATATCAGAGCAGTCCCTCCCCCACCTCTTCCCCCTCCCTCTTCTGAGTTTCCGTTTTCCTGCAAGCCCGCTCCGAAACTCCAAAATTTTCTGAAAATTTCCAAAATGTTTTGGATGGTTTCATTTAGTTTTGGAGATGTTTTGGAGCCTTCCATTTTAATGTTGGATTTGGTGTTTTGGGCACTGAAATGGGCCAAAACACCTCTGAAATGAAATAGCTGCCGAAATTACACACAGCCCTACTGCACACCACACATGCTGCACATGTAGTGCTAATTTTCCGTATGAGTTTTTTTGACACAGAGACCCTGGTGTCAAAAAAAAAAAAAAAACCGCAGCAGAAAAAGCGGGGCTGTGCACATGGCAGCGGTGTGCACCACCTGAAATTGGAGCCTGGCTGGCTGGAGCTATGCTCTGGTTGCCAGCCAGGCTCCCTGCTGCCAAATCACTACTGCTTATGGGTGACTGGTGCCTCCTGGCCCTGTGGGGGTGGGCACCAGAGGGCAATTGCTGACTGGGGGGTGGGGTCCCCCAGTGGCTGATTGCTGACTGGGGGGAGGGGGTTCTGCAGCAGCCGATTGCTGACTCCAGAAGCGCCGGCAGCAAACTGGAAGTGCCACCAGTGCTCCCTACTCCCTGGCCTGCAAGAGACAAATTTTAGGGGGGGCATGTGCCCCCCTGTACCTCCCCTACTGGGGGAGGGGCCACTGCTGGAGCCCAAGAAGTCCCCATAACCCCAGGTAAGAGGTGCAGGTCCCAGCCTCCCCTGACCCACCTGAGGTAACGTGTTGTGCGCCAGACTGCATGTGCATGGGCATTCCCTGGGGATCGAGTAGCAGCAGCACATATTGTGCCACTGCTATTTCTCCCCATGAAAATGTATATGCCTGCATGTCTGGATCTGGCCATGGTTTCCAAGAAATGTAAGTGCTTTATTAGCAGTCCTTTGGTAGTGACATAGGTTCTGAACAAGGTAACCTGGGAAGTCATGCTATCAGCACAGACAAAAATGTTTGGTTTAAAAAGCTCAAAATCTAGATAAATAAAATAGTTCCAATTGTGGTATGGTTTCAAAACACTCATCACTCCTGCAATATGCTCCTGAATTATGCTAATAGCAGCACATTTGACTGTAGTATTAGGAAAACTGACAGGTTTAATTCCAACTAGGTAGAACCTATCTTACCTTTTTATATTAATTCATGACACTTTGTCAATGCCTCTGGCAACATAGCCAGAAATAAATTACAAAGGGGAACCTGCCAGCCAGATAGTTTCTTGCTGATGGTAGTCTAGACGATTGGCTGGGACTTAGGAGTTTACAATCAAGTTATCTAATGTTATGTCACAACTTTCATTCCTTTCCACTGCTCATTTTCCCCCAGTGTAGCAAAATGTACCATTTTACAATGCAATATCAGTTTTCAGCCCTATTCTAGATCTAGCATGCAACTAAGAGGATTTTAACTTGAACAAGACGGAAGAGGATGCAAAGCTGGCATATCACATACCTGCTCTGTCTGTAACCTCTGCCTTCTTTGAACTTTTACTATATTGGCTGTTTAAGATGCGTGATAGAAAATTGGATAGAATAAACTGTATAATGTTAAAGCATGCATGCTCCTTAAACAACTTCAACACCAATAAAACAATGGCAGAAGACTTACCTTTGATTTCTCAAAATAATCTCTCATTCTAGGTTTGCTAGGATCTGCATTATAAAAGTTATCAGTGAGTGGAACTGCTATTCCCAGAACAGATGGAGGTCTATAATTTACCTGTATATAAATGCATAAAGGACAGATGGATACTGAATAAATATATGCTCAGATATAACTAAAGGGATGATAAAAGAAATTCTTAATTTCTGAATAACATAACAGAAGAAATGTACATGATATTTAAACCAAGATGTACATGATATTGAAACCATAAAGGATACAAATAGATCTGATGATTTATCTTTATCAAACATTTCGGTTTCCACTAGCATCCCTAATGGGGACACACACACCCCTGTCTTTCTTATTGTTGCCACTGAGCTATGAGATAGGAACAAAAAACAGGTTCCTGTATATCTATGTACACACACACACACACACACACACACACACACAAATAGATAATGTTTATAAGATAACCAGTGCAAGAGAAAAGCCATTTAAGGGTCAAGTTAAATAACTTTACAATTGGGTAACTTTATTCTATGCCTTGCCCCCACTGCTTCCATTTCAGATCTTCCATATCTGTGGGACCTACCAATCCTGAAGAAAACATAAAAAATGTTCCTATTGTTTCAAAATATCATGCTTCAAAATAAAACCCTTGAAATAACTACGGACAAGGTTCTTTGGGTAAATATCTAATATCTTTTATTAGACCAACTAAATAGTTGGAAAAATTGTTCTTTGCAAATGTTTGAGCATAAAGACCCTTCTTCAGGCATAGGGAGAGTCGGCTGGTGTGTTGTTTTCTTCTGGATGGAATAGAAGCCAATATGCAAAAAGCAGATCTGTGAAACTGCAGATGTGTGGCAGTGAGGATCAGAGGGGATGGGAGAGAAGAGGTTTGAGACAGGTAGGTGCAGGGGTGGGGAAAGAGGGAATATTGACTTGGTGATAGAATGTAGCTGGTAAAATGTAGAGAGGTTACCTGAAGATATCGGATGGCAGGTAAGTTATAATGTGCCATAAATCCAACATCTATATTTAGTCCATGACTCTTTATATCCAGTGGATTTATGAAGGGCAGTTCATAGGCTCATGTATGAAAGGTGTTTTTTAAATTCCCTTTGTGGATTAGAACTGAGAGATTGGAGAGAGAGTGGTTGTTCTCTTCACAGGGCAAATTCAGTAGTATCAGAGGGCTTGGCTATATATTATAGCTTGCTTGGTGTGTTTAGGGCAGGGTTGGTCAAAATATGGCCCATGGGCTGGATCTTGCCTGCAAAGGGGCTTTGACTAGCTCACAGCAGGTCCCTTGGTCCTGCCCGGCCGAGACACTGCCCGGCTGTGGCATATCTTGCTGCCCCCTGTGCATGCAGAGGGGCTGGGGTGGCTCTTTCTGGCTGCTGCCACTGCTGGTACCCACCACTACTGTGGGGCTGGGGGCAGCACAGCAGCAGCCAGAAGGAGCTGACCTAGCTGTGCTGCATGCCCAGGGGTAGCAGGATGCAACACAACCAGGAGTTTTGGAGCAGGTGCGGGCCACACTGGGGCTGCGAGCTTTTGGCGGTGGTTGGGGAGGCCTTGCAGGGAATGCAGGCTCTGGGCAATTGCGGGGTAGGGTCAGGGGCTGATGGCATCAGGGGGCACATGGAGGGGGCTCTCATGCACACCACACATACCCTCTAACCCTTCCCCCCAACCCCACAACCATACCCGTCTCCACACACAATCATACACCCCACAAACAACATACCTACCCACACCCTCCCACTCATTCCCCTACACTTACACCTGCATGCCTCTGGGAGAACCCCACTCGCTGCTACATGCACACACCACACACTCACCCATGCACACCCCTAGCCTACTCCGCCCTCATTCTGGGCTGCCAAGCTCCCTACACTCTTCCCCCTCTCAGATGTGGCCCCCCCGGGACCTTTGACCACACAGGCCCTGGCCTCATCTCCAAATCCAGTCAGAAACCTATGGGTTCACCTTCTCCTGCCCTGCTATAGGGTTGTCCATCTGGTTGTGGGAGCAGGGGTTATTAAGGTGCATCAACCCACCTTTCACCGGGGTGGTAACTAACCTGGCATTTCTTGGAGATTGTCCCACCACAAACAGCCCCATCAGGCCACCAATCCCTGGCAGGGTGTACTTTTAAGTTAGGACCAGGACCAGGAGCCCCCACCATCCCCATAGCCCCAGCCCATAAGCCTACAAGCTGTTCCTGAGCCTCAGCTCCACCAGCTGATGTCTCTCTCACAGTTGCCAGCAGCAAACTGCTGCTTCACCCTATATATATCCTGGGTCTCAAAATAGCCACTGTACTCAAGCACCTGGCTGCTGCCTGCTCCAGCCCTTAAAGTGGCAGGCACCAATAGTGCCCTGCCACTAGCTCATATGTATGGGCTCCAGCCTGTCCGATTTATGGGTTAGGCAGTGGAGCCCAAGAGCTCTTCCAGAAGGCTCCTAACACTGCTCCTAGTGGGCAGGGTCTCCTCTCAGACAGGCCCTGTCCTGCTCTGAGTGCCTGCCTTGGCTCCTGGCTTGCCCCCTCAGTCCCAGGAGCCCACTATCTGCTGTCCTTCTTGCTGTCTTCTCTTAGGAATACAGGGGAGGCCAGACTGGCTCCAGCCAGGTTTCCAGCTGGACTAGTGGTCACTGCCCAGCATCATTTGCTGCAGACAATGATGCTGGAGGCCTGCAGTGGATCTTTATGGGGAGGGACCTGCTTGCCTCTTCAGAGGAAGACTCATTTGTGCCAAGACACAGGAATCTCTGTCCATTTCTGAGGAGACCCTGGATTGTCCCTAGAAACTTAACTTAGAAGGACTCTGGAAGGGTCAGGCCTCTCCATGGCTATGCTTGTGGCCTTAGTGTGATCTTGTGGAGCTGAGTTCCACCACGGATTTGGGGTAAAATTTTCAGAAGTGCCTCATGCCTTTGGACCCTTTCAACCCAGAATCCATGCTCTTATCAGCAAGACTTAGACTCCCCAAGTCTTATAGAAGTTTGGGAACATTTTGCGTTTGTAAAAAAACTTTCCTAACTATTTAAATTTGCTGCTTTCAGAAGTCATGGATTGTGCCTGACCCTCTGTGGAGGATGGAGCAATGAGTAGCTCCCACCCCAGTCTCTAATTTGTCACCATTTATCAAATACCCTCCACATCACCTCCTCTCTCAAATGAAGAGCTCTTCTTTGCCCTGCATTAAATCCTAGCATCTTGGGAGATGCAGCATGATGGGTGTTTGGCAGCCACCCTGCAGGGGTGTCAATCCAGCACAGACAGAATGCAGGTAAAAGAAAGAGGCTCACGAGAATGTAGTGGAGCTGGAAGAGACTGGTTCTTTCTGGTGCTGCTTGGAGCCCAGCCAAGGTCATGTTCCCTTTGGCAGACCCAGTCAGGCTGTCGGTGCAGAGCTTTCTTCTGCTTCCCTGCAAGTGGTAACTCTTGCAGTAATGTCTAGCCTCCCGCAGCCCAGCCCTAGCCCTTTCCTTTTGGCAGCACATGGAGTGGTCTGTTTGCTTTGAGGCTGGCCCTGCTAAACTGGAAGGTTCATCACAGCCAATATATCATAGAGCACGTAGTCTTGGAGCTGATCCTAGGTCTGCCACACAGGACTTGGCCTCACACTCTTCAGAGCCAGATGGCAGGACCTTGCAGGAGCCTCTGAGGATGGGAGGTGTCTGTCTTTTGATGGGACTTATTTTTTTGGCAGCTGTAAGAGTGGCAGGGTGCTAGAGTACAGGGCTAAATCCTGAACTGTAATGGGGAAGGGACCTACTAGAGCCACTGGAAGTTTCCATGAGTGCGGAACTCAGATTTAGGGTTGTTGCTCTCACTTACCAGAGAGAGCAGATGACAGTAGAGTAGGTAGGAAGCTGTAGTGTTTGGCAGGATGCCTAGCATCCTGTGGGTTTAACTCAAACAGGCAGGATTTCAGCCCAGAGCCTTTTCCCAGCCCAGAGGCAAATTAAGGTGTACTGGGGTCCTGGGCAAACACAAAATAGCACCATCAGGGGAGCTGGGCTGCTCCTGGTGCTGGCGGGGGAGGCTGGGTGGACCCTGCCAGGCTGGGGATAGGGAGCACATTCCGGTCCCCCTCCCCCGCTATGGCCAAACGTACACACGCACAGGGGGACACAACCAAGCATGCACACAGATAGGCATGCGCTCTACTCTCACTCTCTGCACATGGACACACAGACACAATCACACTCTCCCTGCCGTGAACACAGACACATGCACACACACACATACACACACAGATGCAGACAGACACTCATACACAAATGTGCACAGACACAGACAGGTACATGTGCACATGATGCACAGAAGTACACAAGTGTGCAAACACAGGTGCACACACAGAAACTTGCATACAGTTGCATAGATGTGCACACAGACACACACATGCAGGTGCACACACAGATGCATACAGACATAGATGCACGCACACATGTGCACACAAATGCATGCACACACATAGATGTGCACACAGAGATGCACACACATGCAGAGATGCATGCACACAAAGATGCACACACACACACACACACACAGATGCACATGCACAGATGCGCACATGCACACAGATGCACACATGCACACAGATGCACACACACCCAGAAACGCATGCACACAGCCACACACACACAGATGTGCGCACACAGATGTACAGACGCAAACACAGAGACAGAGAGAGATAGACACGCCCATCCAGCCACATACTGTCCCCTCACAGGCCCCTGTTGCAGTAGCCGGCAGGTGCTGCTGCCTGCCTGTGTCTGTGCAACCGTGCCACCGTGCACGTGCACCAGGCTAGGCTGGGAGCACCTCACCGCACTGCACCTCTGCGGGCAGGTGGCGGCATTGGTAGGGAAGTCTATGGGGGCTAAGGTGAATTTTGGGAAGCTGTAGCTCCCCAAGGCTCCCCTACCACCACTGCCCGCCTGCAGAGGTGCAGTGCAGCGCTCCCAGGAGGCCTGACCCGGTTATGGGTCACAACATGGAGGTATGTCATATGTTGGATGTTCAAGCCCATGAAAGAAGGTACCAGCCTGAAATGCAAAAGACCTGAAGATGGTGTGGAGGAGAGT